TATATGTATGTATGTTCTGTATACGTATAATTATATGTGTATATGGCGTCGCTTGTATTTACAGTTCTATTCGTTCATATATCGCACATGCAACTAAAGGCTAAGCTAGAAACTAAAAAGAAACTATTTTAACTTAAAATCTGAAATTAAAAAACTAAAAGTCAACTAAAAACAAAACAATTAACATTCCGAATTGTTACTGCTGTTGTTGTTGTTCTTCTTCTTTTTGTTATCTAGAACCGAGCTAATACTTTTGGCCTTTTGGACTTCAGTGTTAACACTCGAACTCGTTGGCCGTAATGGCGCTCAGATCCTTCATTAGGCCCTCCAGATTGGCCATCTCTTGGTTCAGCTCCTCGGTGGATGTGCTGGGCGCCAGTCTTTGTATCTCATCGGTGGAATGCGCCACAGAGCCGCCGCTCTGCAATCGATTGGGCGTGGCTGCCGAAAATGAGGGCTTCTTGTATGGCGATTGATTCTGTGGACGTATTGTGACAGCAGGAGCTAGAGAGAGAGAGAGAGAGATGATGAATTAAAAGGAGTTAAGCGGGACTGATGCGCTACTTACTGTGCTTGGTAATGGGCGTGGCGCCGCCAGTGGGCGGCGGTCCCGGTACACTGAAACTCTTGAGCGGATGGCCACGCTTGGCGCTCTCGATGGTGGACACGCAGCCATTGCCAGCCGCGCCTGTGCCGCCCTGCGCCCCGCCCGTATAACCAGCATTGCCACTGCAGAGAAAGAAGCCAAATTCAATTAACCAATTTATACATTTGTTCTGTTTATCTGTTTATCTGTTTGTTTTTTTCTTTTTTTTTTTTTTTTATCAAGAGAGAAACATATCGAACGTATTACGCTGGGACATGAAAAACATTGGAACTATGGCTTCATGCGTCGTCGGCAATCTTTGCCCAAAAAGTGGAGGACGCGCGCCTGCTGTATCTGCTCCGCCTTGCGGGCCAGCTGAATGTACGGCATACGATCAGCCGTGGTCATGATGCGCCAGGCATGCGTTGCCACCTCGGTGACCGTTGCCGCGGTGCGCATTGTGTAGACGCCCTTCAGCTGATGGTTAATCAGAATCTCGTCCAGGCGAAACTTGTTCAGGAAATTGAGAAACGGCAAAGGCGATGCCATCAACAGCAGCTGCTGCTCCACATAGCCCGGCAACGTTCGATGGTCCAGCTGGAGCACACGATCAGTGGGGCCATGCACCAGATCGATCTGAACACTGGGATCGATGCGCCCCCAACGTGTTCGATTGCACATTCTTCTCTTCCTCAGCTTTTATTTGTGTATTTTTTTTTATAATTTTTTTCTTTTATTTTTTTTGGTTTATTTGTCTGCTTTTTAATTGCTTTTGGAGTTTTAAAGTCAACAGATCATAATGTGAAAGAATTTTTGGTATATAATTTACTAGAACAGATCGAAATATTAAAAAATCTAATCGTACAGCCTCCTACAGGTCCAAAAGGTTTGATAGAAATGATTAGATGTTTACGTAAATAAGAGAAGGAAAACAAAATGGAAGTTGATAGGAGACTGGAGCCTCCAAGCATAGATGGACTTGGGCTAACGAATACCTCTTTCAAGAAAATACTCTGCTTACAGAATTTCCTTATCGATACCAGAAAAACATATATTATCTTGGGCAGATCCTATTCCAGCACTTACCAGAAGTTGGCATCGTAGCCACCGTACGGATGCTCCGGCGTCTGGGCCAGCGAATTGTTCTGTGGCTGGGTGAGACTCTGCTGGGAGAGACCCGTGTCCATGGTCATGTGCGAGCGATTCTGATGATTGTATTGGGTGCGCGGATATTGAGGTCGCTCCATGGTTGAGTTCATTGAGGTGGCTGCTGGTTGGAAAACGAATGTGGCATGAGTATTGGGATGAAATGGGAGCTCCATTCGATTCGACTCACTCATGTAGCCGGCAACGTAGGATCGCTTGTCCAGGGAGTTGGTCACGTGCGGTGGCACCGGAGTGTCCACCTCGTATTCACTGTGCACCACAGAGCGGGGCAGGGTCAGGGCACCGCTGCTGGAGGCGTTGTCGCTGCAGACGGGCGTGGCAGAGTGCAGTCCCTTGTCAATGTTCTTCAGCTCCATTTGGTCATGATGTATCCATAGGTCTGGGGGCTTGGGCACGCCCACATTGTTCTTCTGATAGCTATTTAAGAAATCAATGGAATTAGTTAAGGCTGAGAGTTAGGTACAAAGCTGTCTTACCTCTTCTTGGTGTGCTCTGGCGAGGATTGCGGCTTGCGCCGGCAGAAGAGCAGTAGACCCAAGAGCAAGAGGACGAGCACCAGAATTGTGCTGCCAATGATGATGTAGAGCAGATTCTGATTATCGATGCCCTTGGCAATGGTGTCCGCCTCCTGCATGATGACCGCGGCGCTGGTGGTGAATGCCGTTAGGGCAGAGAAGGGCGCATTGTTGCCGCCCTTGGTGGTGCGTGCCTGCACCTTGAAGTAGTAGGTGGTGTAGGGCTTCAGGTTGGGCAGCATGAGCATCGTCTCATCGCCGGCGAACGCCTCGATTGCCCAATCCCGGTCCCGCTTCGTCGTGTCTGTCGTATAGTAGACATTGTAGCCAGTTATCTGGCCAACTGTGTGCTTGGGCGGCAGCCATTGTACGATCACATTGTGCGGATTCTGCTCGTCCAGGCGCACGCTGACCTCCCGCGGCGGCGTAACGGGCACATTCTGATAGGTGGTGTTCAGCACCGACATGGACCACGCCGACTCGCGGCGACCCTTCACCACCTTAACGGCGAATTCGTACTGCGTGTTCGGGCGCAGATCGTTGATCATGCAATTCAGATCGGTCGTGTTGTGGTAGCGATAGCGATTGGAGCCCGTGATGCCGTAGCTGACCGTGTAGTGCCGATTGTCGGTCACGTGCTGGTTCTTGTTCAGCATCGTGTCGATCCAGTAGACGACGATCGACGAGCTGGACATGGTAATGGCGCGCAGTCCAACTGGCACCTCCAGCGGCACTGGCACATCGAGCGGCTCCTCGTCGCGGGTCTTGATGTTGTCATAGATGGGCGGGCCGTCGCCCTTTATATTGCGTGCTCGCAACGATACCACATACTCCATGTTCGACTCGAGATTCTTGAGCACATGATAGCGTTCCGTTTCCTTCAGCTCAATGGTATTCTCATCGGGTATGCCACGGCCCCAGCCCAGCACATAGTTGCGTATTTTGATCTCCGGCTGCTGCGGCGGACCCCAGTGCAGTCCAATGTTATCAGCGCCTGGCTGTATATTGATCCAGACGGGCTTGCCCGGCACCTGTGTCTCATCCAGATCGTTCTCCAGCGTAGTCGCGCGATACCACTCTGTGAACGGACCAGACCCATTGACAGTCATGGCGGCAATCTTCACTTGGTACTCGGCATTGCGATCCAGCGAGTTCAGCTCGAAGTAGCGTATATTAGCGGGCGTGCTCTTCGCCTGGGGCGCATCCTTCAGCTTGCGATAGCGTATCTTATAGCCCGTTATTTGGCCATTGCAATCCTCCTCAGCGGGAGGCTCCCAATGCACTGTGATGGACTGTGAATGGCAAAGCGAGAAATTAGCCTTGGCTCTAATGGAGGAGTGCTTCAGTTACTTACGCTCGAGCTGGTCACCTCGAGGGTGACATTATTGGGCGGCTCCGAGGGCGTTGAGGAGAAGGTCTTCACCTTCAGCTCAGCGGAGGAGTCGCCCATGCCATTGCGATTGAAAGGCACCACGCTGATCACATAGTCCGTATACGGACGCAGATCGGTGAGCAGCAGCTCCAGCGACGTGCTGTCATTGTATCGATCTGCACCGCTGTCGTTCTGTGGAGGATGCGAATGGTGAGTAGCTGGTAGACAGATGGTTAAGGACTCTGAGTGCTTACCTCGGAGTAGTAAACACGATATTTGAGTATCTCGCCGTTGGTCACGGTGGGTGGTTGCCAGTGCACGTAGATCTCCTTGTGGCTGCGCGCATAGGCGTCCACGTTGCGTGGCGGTCCGGCGATGTTCACCTCGGGCAGGGTGCTCGCCTCGAGGGGCTGCGAAGATTCGCCGATGCCAAAGTTCGTGTTGGCCACAACTCGGAACTGATAGGTGCGACCTGGCAGCAGGGATTGTATGCTGACCTGCTGATCCTCGTGCGACTGGGTGACGATCTTCTGCTCACTGTGAAGGGAATGAGTCGATGAGGGAGTGATCTCATTTCTAATCCATGCCGACTTACCGTTCGCTGTTGCTCACGCGATAGAAGACCGTGTAGGAGACCACCTCGTTGGCGTTCTGCAGCGGCTCCTGCCAGCTGAGCGTCACGAAGCGGGGCTTCACAATCTGTGCCACCAGGTTGCGTGGCGCACTGGGTAGGCGGGCCACTAGACCGCTGCTCAGGGGCTTCACATCGCTTGGAATTTCCTCGCCTGCGCTTAAATCTGTTGAGGCAAAATTGGATGTGGGGGACATTTGTTGTTGTTGTGTTTGCTGTTGTTGTTGTTGCTGTTGGTTCTTGTTCTTATGCTGCCAGGAGGCCAGTATTTTATCAGCACTCGCATCGTCATACTCATCGTCAAGGTCGTCGTCCGAGTCCTCGTTCTGTCGGCGCAGCGCACTGATCTCGCCCGCCCCGTAGTTGCGATCGTTGAGCGGCTGCTCGATGGGACGCGCAAATTTGCGCAACGGAATCTCGGCGGATTTCTCATCCGCATAACTGTAATCGTCACTGTCCAAGTCTAAATAGCTGTTGCCACCTGCCTTGGTGCGCAGCTCAGCCGAGTTGAAGGGTCGTCGTCGTCTGTTGTTGTTGTTGTTATTGTAGTTGTTGTTGTTGTTGTCGGAACTGTGCAGGGATTTTGTTGTGTGGCCTTGATGTTTACGTTGTTTGATTTTGGCTTTGGATGGGCAGGAGTTTGGATGGGATAATGAGGGATTTGATAAACGGTTGGCGGAAATCATGATGTGGAGTGGAAAAAAAGCAAGTGAATAAACAATAAGTTAATAAATTAATTAATCAAATCATAGGGAAATTAATCAAATTCGCTTTTTGACTGCCCACGCGGGAGTTGGGATACGAAATATCAAATATTACTTAGAGGATGTTTAAAATATTATTCAAGGCATATTAAACAGGAGATATGGAAGAGATAGAATAGATAGCTTCATATATGTACAGAGTACCCAGTATCAAAAAAATATTTAAGATGGGAAGGAAGATATTAGATTCTGATATGAATATACATATATAGGTAGAATTTAAATTCTAATTGAACTGGTTATTTGAAAGAGTATGAAAAATATTGAGTAAAGAAGTTTAAATTTGAAGAAGTTTAAAATTGATACTATATAAAAATCGTTAATAATTATTATCTGAATCTCACATGAGAAAATTTAACTATATCACTTTATGTAGTTAAGATCTATTAAATAAACTTTAAGACTTTAATAAGTGTTGACTTCATTCAATTCTTTTTTATTCTTTACTTAATCTGAACAAGACTTGTATAATAATTCTGAGACAGCTTTTACAGAAAATTGAACTCAGAATGGGTTTACCGAATTATAGTCTCTAATGGTCTTAATATTTCAGAACTTCTTTTAATACCATCTCGTAAAGGATCAAACTATAGACCAACTATATACAAATAATTTTACAAGGTAGCTACAAAGCCTCAATCATCTACTTCCTAATTCTCTCTATAGGTTCTATTTCGGGGCAAAAGCGAATTAGTTGGTTAAATGAAGATAACTTATATTTAGAAACAATACAAAACACATAGATACAAATAGATACGCACACACACACATATATATATTTATATTTTATATTGCTTATATACAAAACATATGAAATTATTTTACAAGAGCTGAGGGAATTCGAGGGGTCGGGGAGCGGCGTTAATTTCGTTAAGTGTGTTTTATGATACAGTTAGAGGGCCGATTGCGTAAGCTGGAGCATAAAATACTGGACACCAAGCAAGTAGAGTCTACCACTACGTATATACAATGGGGCTGGCAAGTCTCTTACCTCCTGGCGGCACAACACGCAGTCGAGCCGACGCCTGAACGGTGCCAGCGGGATTGGTGCCGACGCACTGGAACATGCCCGCGTCGGAGTAGAGCAGTCCGCGAATGCGCAGATTGTGCCCGTTGACAAACTGCAGGTATTCGTTGGGCGTGATGACGTCGCCGTTCTTTAGCCAGCGAATGGTCGGCTTGGGCTTGCCGTGGATGGCGCACTCCAGGTTGAGCACCTCCTTCTCGGAGGCGGTCTTGTCGCGTGGCGCCTGTATAAATTTCGGTGGCACCTGCACTTGAACCGTCGCCTGGGCGTCCAGGGAGTCCACCGTGTTGCTGGCCCGGCATTGATAGTTGCCCGAATCGATGTCCTCGGCGCCGGATATCTGCAGCGAGCCGGTGCCGGTGATGGAGAAGCGTGAATCGAGATGATTGAGATCGAGCTCCTCGCCGTCGCGTAGCCACTTGATCTGCGGCTTGGGCACTCCATTGGCCACACAGTCCAACGTGACGGTTTCGCCCTCGCTGACCGTCTTGGGCGAGGGTCCCACTAGGAACGAAGGTGCTACCGCCTGCTCGGCACCGGCTTCCGCGGGCTTCTTGATGTTTAGGTTCATCTTGCTGCTCAGCTGGTAGGTACTGCCCGAGGTCACGTTGCACTGATAGGCGCCCCGATCGTTGGCATTCACCTCATCGATCTCCAGCGCTCCATTTGGCAGCACCACCATGCGCAGCTTGTCCAGCGGCAGCGGCATGTCGTCCTTGTACCACTGCACCGTATGCTTTACGCCCGGCTGCCAGACATGCTCGCCCACAATGCAACGGAAGTACGCCGTCTGGCCGGGCAGCAGATACGACTCGATGAATTCCTGATTCAGCTCCGGCTGCCGCGCTATGGCCACCAAGGCCGGACGGCTGAGGACGCTGCCAATGCCGTCGGCGCTCAGCAGGCACTGGTAGGCGCCCGTCAAGCCACGATTCTCCTCCACAGAGCTGATGTAGAGCGAGCCGTTCTTCAGCTGAGTGCGAAACGTGTCGCCCACAACGCCCAGATCCTGGCCATCAGGTCCGCGCCAGCGTATCGTCGTTGGCGTGGGCGTGGCCTTGCCCTTGCTAGCCGCCTTGCCGGCGCACTGCAGCAGCACTGAGTGGCCCTCGGGCACGACAGAGTCCTGCGGCTCCAGCGTGAATATGAGTGCTAAAAACAAAGAGAGAAAGAGGAAGAGAGAGAGAGAGAGAGAATAAGTGGATAAGTTGTTGTTTCTGTTCTTGCTGTATGCGAGTAAAAGTCACCACCATGTGACCTGGTTGGAGCACGCGCATCCACTTGACGCGGCGCAGTGGAGGGGGCGACACCAGCAGCTGCAATCTGTCAGCTTGAATAATTAAAGCGACAAAAGCCTTGCCAACCACCGCCCCCATGCCCCGCATGCCACCCACTCTTTGTTTTAGGCTCGCCCTGAGGCTAGACAAATATTTGCATTTCCACTTTGACCTCACTCTCGCTTTACCAGAGCGAGGGAGAGGGGCAGGAGCTGCTGCCAATGAATATCTAACATACTTTAATGGCAACAAGCGCCCGGATCGAATACCAAGCCTAAGCCCCAAGCATAGGTCGACTTGAGGACCGCCGCTAGGCTGTTGCCGCCAGCCCCAGTGGTGGCACTTCGGCTGCGCTACCATTGGGTCCAAGGAGATAAGCCCCAGGCATTGTTTCAAATGTCAAATTATGTGGAGCTTAAAGCCTGCTCAAGGACTGCTAATGAAGGCAGCCAAGGCGGAGTTTGCAGCTGAATTTATGTGAGAGTGTAAATTTAAAAAGAAGAGAATCAATATTCTCTTGAGCTCATTTGAGAAACTTATTTATGCATAGATGTATACAAAAAAGTCTCTTCTATGTTCTCTCCTTTGATTGAAAGAATTTCTGAAGCAATCGCCCCGCTTTTCGAGCTAGTTTCATTTCCCGTTTAGCCTTTTTCAAGCCAATTCGCGTTTGCCAGCTCCAGTTGCGTTGAGCCTTAGCTGTTATATTTAAGTAGCATTAATTAGGCATCAAGCAGTCGGCTGGGCAATGCGGCGTCTTTTATAATTTGCAAAAATTTATCCAGCTGTGCAAACGAGTGCCACAAACGCACATACTTCAGGCGCAGTTTGAAGCAGGAGCTGGAGTAGTTAGAGAGGGAGTGGGAGTAGGAGTACGAGCTGCTGCAGGTGCAACCGGGTGGGTTCATTTATTGCCGCACGCTGTGAGGCAGTGTGGCAGAGCCCTCTGCTGCTGCTGTTGCAAGTATGTTGACCGCACGTGAACTCCAACGGCACTCGCAACCTCTTGGACTTTTTTTTTAGTTTTTTTTTTTTTTTAGAATGTTCGCAATTTGCTCGCTTTGTTTTGCTTCCGCCTCGCTTCAGCTTCGGGTTCTGCGCTCTCGAAAGTTTTAAGCGACGAGTTTACGAGGCGTGTTGGCTCCTTGAGCTCATTGCTGGGGAATACCAAAATATGTATATGCCGCGACATAAACTGCAAAACAACTCAACTGTTTCCCTTCGTGCAGAACCTGAGAAGCTGCTTTTGCCCATTGCCCCCTGTCCATTGATTGTGCAATTTATTTTCCCGTTTCCTTTCAATTTCCAATTGGCATTTCTATTCCATTTGCGTCTGGATCATATGCTACTGCCACAGCTCTCGCTAGGAAGTCAAACATTTAAAGTTCCGACGTGCGGCTTTTATGGTTATTGCCCCGCGCTCTTGGCGACCCTCCCGAGCTCCGAGCACCGAACTCTGAGCTCACATTTTGCGGCTTTACGTGAGCGCCGCGACTCATTGGCTGCCTGTCACATTTCACTCGATCCACGTAATACAATTCGCAGACATACGGCCCCTCCAATGCTCCCTATGCGAAATACCCTTAGCCTGCTTCATGTTGATGTGCGGGGATATATAAACTGAGTGATAGAAGTTTGTATAAGTAGAGCAACTTTCTCTTTTGCTGTGGAGGGTGTTTGAGTTCCTAATGTAGAGATGATATAATATCAATAGAGATGTATGTTTATATCCTCAAAGCAAGAGCTTCTCGGATTTGCATATTTGAGTCCCAACCTCTTGGACCTAAATGGAGTACTTAAAGAGAGAGCCTTATATATTATCGATTATCGATAAATACACATGTAGATAAGCTTGATTATTTGAAGATCGTCTTAAATTTATATGATTACTGATATTATCGATAAATACATATGTAGATAAGCCTGTTTATTTGAAGATCGTCTTAAATTGAAATGATTACTGATATCACATTTAGACTGTGATGAAACACCCAAGGTTCTTTTCATTATTGACATCATCTTACATTATATTATATCATTCATGCATTATATTATATAATTTTTCCACAATTTCCACTTTCATCCATTTACAGGGTATACACACAGTCCGTCACTACTCGTGCCTCGTTGTAAGTAGGCTTTGTAGCAGTCTTTTAGGCGCTGCTGGCTCAAACTAAAGACTTTCAATGCTGCTGCGTTGCACAGAGAGCCAACATAACTGTGGTCTAACCCTTATAAGCCACTTTTGCTCTCGCTCTACAGACACGTCCGTCTCTCTTTCACTCTCCCCCCACCTCTCTCTCTCTCCCTGTTTATTTTGATTCTGTCTGCAGCTGCATTTTGATTGACATTGGCTGTGTGAAGAAGTCTTATGTTTCTGGTATTGGATTTCATATATGAGTTTGTGAGCTCAGTTTTATGTGCTACCTGCACTTTGTGGCACGTCTCAATTGTGCGTCCCAGCGGGCCACGCCCGCATATGCCGAGCGAGCATTTGTGGCATTCAAATTTGGAATTTTCAAAAAAATATGCCAATCTATAAAACATAATGGTGCTCTAAATCAAATAGAGACATTCACAATCAAAATTCGTATAACGGAACGAGCGAGCGCGAGCGCCGCGGGTCGCGCGTTCAATTAAAACCATTTTTATTGCTCGAATTGATTTTTATTGTCTTTCGCTTATGTATGAATGCATTTCACATTTCTCAGATACAGCGACAGACAGAGACAGGCACATTTCGAAAGGCGAATCGAGGTTATCGCGACTGCAGCTACCGAAATTGTGTCAATCGCTTGGGCTGCGTGAAAGGCTCTCTGTTATCAGAGTCGGGAATTTCGGGGGAAACTATAAAGCTCGCTATCGTAAAGGCAGCAGCTGCCACGCAACCACGCCCACTTGCACTGGAAATTAATTATCATGTTTCTCATTTGACAAAGTAAGCAAGAAAAATCAAAAAAACCCATTTAATTAAATGCTAATTGGATATATTTTTAAAACCAATAAACGATGAGAGTATAAGAGAGAGAGAGAAAGGGAGGGAGGGAGAGCCAAATGAAGTTGCAACCAGCTGAAAGTTCCACTCAGACTACGGGCACATCATAATCACATTTCGTAAATTTCGTAAAATTTTGTATCGCAGCCATTAACAGGGCCTTTCACTTAGTTTTCCCTTCAGCCTACCCCCTCTCTCTCTCTGTTTGTCTGTCTGGTCGGGAAACCGCAGTGGCGCCGTGGCATATGGAAACTTTGCCGGTTGTCGTTGGCAATTAAATGTGGCAAAAGCTGCTGCTGCTCTTGGCTAATGCCACACGCCCCATCATCCTGTTGCAACTGTTGAGCCGTCTGTCTGTCTGGCTTCCTGTGCGGCTCTGCGGCCCAAACTAAACTGGAGTTGCGTATAGAACTTCCTTGACAATGCCATTAGCTGTAATGCTTTAAGTTGACAGTTTTTATACGTCGCCTGTTGTTCCGCTTTGCATAAACTCTTGAAAGTCGCAAACTGCAAAGTTTCAGTTAACTTTGGATAGACTATTTGAAATTGTGGAGCATTAGCAAGGAATATTGCAGCAGCTCATTGGTAAGATTATTTAACTTAATGATATTTGCAAAAACTCAAAGTTCAATGCTAATTTCAACTTTAGACTAATTGTTATAAATTTGTTAATCTCTGTTTACTCTTATAATTATTWCCTCCTGTCAATTTCTTATTATATTTGTAATTTGTAATTTTTTATATTTAAGAGTTCCTTTCTATATTATTTAATATTTAGTATAATATGTTATATAGAAATTTTAATAAATTTGTATATTTTTGATCTATTTCATATTAAAAACTTCCCTTGATCCTTTAACAAACTCACCCACTTGTGCTTTAAATACCGTTAATAATATTTTAATGCGCCTCAACTTGAAACTCCCTGGCATTTCCGCAGAAATTGCAAGTCGGAACAGACCTATTGAATTTCATGTACAATTTATGCATTTTACCAAACTGTGGTTGGCCTTTGTTTCAGCGGAAACAAAACGAAAACAATAACAGAACAAAACACACAAAAAAGGACGTACGTTGCATTACTTTTATTATGCGGCTACCCCCGCATCTCCATCCATCTCCTACAACGTTCACCCTCGGCAAATTCGCTCTAGCTACCAAGCTCCCTCCTTCATCCACTCTCTCTCTCTCTCCATTACAGACCAGAATTTTTACGCTTGAAAAGATTTTTTGTGCATTTGTCGAAATGGAGGAGTAGGCTGTAAAATATGTAAATGTATAATGCATAATGGACTGCCAGGCTTAACTCTACCCCAACCCCAAAAGGTTCTCCTTTCCTCGCCCTCTCCCTCTCTCTTTCAGTAAATAGAAATGTTCACCATGTAAATCCCCAAGTAACTTTTGTATGTAAAGTCTTTAACGGAAACAACTGCTCCCTAATCCCATGCAGAGCCTAGACCTTGGCAAACTCTCATATGACAAACATATTTCACATTTTACACATTTTTCCCCTTCACATTTGCCGCCGCAATTGGGCTGAAAAAATATTTATTTTAATTAAGGAAATAAAAGTCCAGAAATTATTTGAATGTGAAAAATTATGATAATATTATACAATAATACCCGTTTCTCTGGCTTAATTGAGTTGTCTTCTACAACATCAACAATTGGCCAAACCTCGCTCACTCCCTCTCGCTCTCCCCCCAAACTCCCCGCTCTGCCGACTTGAGTTTGCTTTAATTACGAGCTGTGCAGCCGTCCTCATTGAATCGAATTAAACAATTATAATTTAGACAGATTTGTGCGCTTATTTCCCTAGAAAAAACTTTAAATTGAAGCCAAAAGAAATTGAAAAGCAACGAGCGAAAAAGGGAAAAAAT